CTGATGCTCCCAGATGCCACCGCAGTCACAGTCCCACCGGAAAGCTCTGCGGGCCCCAACCCAGCCCCACCTCCCGGCCGCTGCCTCGCAGGCAACTCGAGTTTAATGTTTCGACTTCCTTTCCTCTCCCTCCCACTGAGCAAAGCCGGCCAGTTCCTCCCCAGGTTTCTAGTCGCCACATGGCAGCACCGGCCACCAGCCACCGAGGCGACAGGGGGCAGTTGGCTTCCCCTGAGGCCCCCACCCCACCGGCCAGGCCCCCTCCCTCTCTCCTGGACCACACAGAGCCTCCTGCTGACCCCCATCCTGGCAGCCGGCTTCTCCCAACTCCAACCGCCCCTGGCTCTCTCCACAAGCAACCGGAAGCCCCGCTTCACACCCCCACTCACCCCAGCCCATCGATGGTGCCCAATCGCTCTGTCTCAGCACAACGGACATCGGGGCCGGGACTCAGCTGGGGGAGAGGAACGTGCCCTATGGGTTGTAGGATGCTCATCAGCAGCCCAGGGACACCCCCTCCCCCAGTGCGACAACCCACTGACTCCAGACATCACCAACTACCCTGGTTTAAGGGAGGGGGGTCAGGGAGGCCCATCTGGAGAGTGTGGGTTCCCTTAGGCACCAGCAGGTCCCCCGGGAGCAGAGCCTGGGTCCTCCCAGCAGGTTGTAATTTAGTATGTTTTAGGCGGCACAGCTGCCTAGCTCCCAGGCGGCCATTCTCATGGTCACGGTTTTAACATCCCAGGGACGGTGAGGCCTCCGTGACTTCCGCTGGGGAGGGTGGCCGCAGGGCCAGGTGAGCGTGAAGGTGTGGCCGCCATCAGGGTCACCTCAGCGTCCCCTGCCCACCTCCCCGCAGCCGCCTCTCCCTGACCTGTGCCACTGGCCACCAGTCGCTCCTGTCCTGGTTTGGAACTGGGGATGGGGGATGGGGGTGGGGTGTCATGGAGCCCACCCTGCTCCGTTCCTCACGATCACTCATCCACAGCTGTGACTGCCCCGTTCCCAGTGGCTCCTGCGCATGAAACCCCGGGCCTCAGCCCATTGGGACCCCAGCCCCACACAGCACTGTGCGCGGGCTTCTCACCACCTCCTGTGCCACTGCGGGCGCCAGGTGCCAGGTGAGCAGCGCTGGGTGCGGATTGTGCGGCCGGTGCCAGCATTGCCGCCCAACAGAGGCAGCGACAGCTGTGGTAGGGTGCTTTCTTGGAAAAAATCCCAGCGGCCTGTTCCCACCACAGGACATTCTCCGAGAATCCCAGCGGCCTGTTCCCCCCACCGGCATTCTCCTAGAATCCCGGGAGCCTGTCCCCACCACAGGACATTCTCCGAGAATCCCAGCGGCCTGTTCCCCCCACCGGCATTCTCCTAGAATCCCGGGAGCCTGTCCCCACCACAGGACATTCTCCGAGAATCCCAGCGGCCTGTTCCCCCCACCGGCATTCTCCTAGAATCCCGGGAGCCTGTCCCCACCACAGGACATTCTCCGAGAATCCCAGCGGCCTGTTCCCCCCACCGGCATTCTCCTAGAATCCCGGGAGCCTGTCCCCACCACAGGACATTCTCCGAGAATCCCAGCGGCCTGTTCCCCCCACCGGCATTCTCCTAGAATCCCGGGAGCCTGTCCCCACCACAGGACATTCTCCGAGAATCCCAGCGGCCTGTTCCCCCCACCGGCATTCTCCTAGAATCCCGGGAGCCTGTCCCCACCACAGGACATTCTCCGAGAATCCCAGCGGCCTGTTCCCCCCACACGGCATTCTCCTAGAATCCCGGGAGCCTGTTCCCACCACAGGACATTCTCCGAGAATCCCAGCGGCCTGTTCCCCCCACCGGCATTCTCCTAGAATCCCGGGAGCCTGTCCCCACCACAGGACATTCTCCGAGAATCCCAGCGGCCTGTTCCCCCCACCGGCATTCTCCTAGAATCCCGGGAGCCTGTCCCCACCACAGGACATTCTCCGAGAATCCCAGCGGCCTGTTCCCCCCACCGGCATTCTCCTAGAATCCCGGGAGCCTGTCCCCACCACAGGACATTCTCCGAGAATCCCAGCGGCCTGTTCCCCCCACCGGCATTCTCCTAGAATCCCAGCGGCCTGTTCCCACCACCGGGCATTCTCCTAACAGCCTGGGCTTTGGAGGCACGGGGCACACAGGCCCCCAGCACACACGGAGGTGTCGGCTTCCAGCGGTGGCGGGCAGGCAGGTCAACAACACAGCGGGGGTTTGAGTAGCTTTTATTTAATATCCAGAAATCCAAAGTAAACAGTGCTTGAAACGGTTATAAACACAATAAAACACTGGCCCACAGGGGGGAGGAGGAAGGATCCCGTTGCTTCAGAACAGCACAGCTCTTTTTCACATCCAATTGAAACACGGGGCAGGCACTGGGCTGGCGCTTGCATAATCCCTGTGGTTGTTAAAGGGGAAACGGAGCCTCAGGCAGGCGCCCGGGGCCAGTGGGTTGGGGGAGGGACAAAGGCGCATCCCCTGGGCCTGGAGAACCGGCCTGGCGCTCACAGGGTTCCTGTGCTGAGAGCCCCTCGAAGGAGAAACGCAGCTCCCTGGGCATGTGCAACCCCAAAGACACCCAGCTTCCCTGACCTGAACTCACGCCCGGACAACTACGGCCCCAAGCCAACGAGACGATGGGTTGATCACACGAAGGACTCATTCCCCAAGCAGAGCTCACCCTTCTTATTTTGATTGATTTTTAGGGAGAGAGGGAGGGAGAGGGAGAAGGAGAGGGAGAGAAACATCAATGTGAGAACAACACATCCATCAGCTGCCTCCTGCACGCCCCCTACTGGGGATTGAACCCTGATGGGGAATCAAACCTGGGACCTTTGGGTGCACGAGACGATGCCCAAACAACCGAGCCACACGGGCCAGGGCCACCCGACTTCTGCCTGGGGCTGCCCCCCAGTGCACCCGTCCAGGCCAAGCTGTGAGTTTTGACTAACACTGGAAAGTGGAACGAGACAAATGAAATGGTGCAGCCGAAGGGGGCCTTGGCAGGTGTGCGTAAGGCACTCCCAACCTTTGAACCAACTCGGAAAAGTAATTCGGATGAAATATCACACCCTCCCGGGAACCATGGGCTCAGCGCTGCGAGGCGATTGCGCAGGCAGTCCGTTCCCCATCTCACTGTTCCTTTCCCTCTCCCACCGGCCTCCACGTGGGCCAAGGAACCCGCAGAGCTGCCCACCGGGCAGGCCCCCCAAGGCTGCCTCCTCCCCGCGTGGCCCCAGGGACGGGTGAGCACGCCAGATGGGTGGGCCTCCCGCCCCAGGGGCTGTAATGAAGGCGGCACGGACTGTCCCAGCTCATCCACGTGCCAGTAGCACCCTGCCACGCCATGCACCCCGCCGGAAACGACCTAATGCCGTCTTACTTATTCCTTTCCCCCCTGGCAGCCACCTCCATCAACACGCCCTGAGCCCACCCAGCCTGCACGCAGCCGGCCAAGATGGATGCTGCCCCCTTCCCCAAATCCCGAGCAGGGACAGCCCCCTGGACAGCAGCCACGTTCTCCACAGCCTGTGCCCTGCGGAAGGCCAACCTTGAAGAGAAGGGGGGAGGAAGCTGATTGCAGGGGCCGCCCCGGGGTTCGCACGCACATCATAGACCCCAGCTGGGGCGCGAGGGCCGAGTTTGGGGGCTGAGGCCCAGCACAGAGCCATCGGACACCCAGCGGAGCCTCCCCATCTCTCCCCTGCGCCACGGTGGGCAAGGAGGTGAGCAGCACGGAGGCGAGCAAGCAGCGTCTCCTGCAGGTGCCCCAGGGGAGGTGCCAAGACTCGGGGATCGAGAAGAAAGCCTCGCTCCCCCTAGCAGGGGCTGCCGTGGCCCCCAAGACCCATGGGCTGGAGCCCTAATCCCCAGGGTCTCGGAAAGGGCAGCCTGAGGTGATGCCGGTGAAATTAGGTCACATGACTGGGGGTGGCCCAGCATGGCTAGGGTCCTTATAAGAAGGGATCAGGACACGGACACACACAAACACACACAGGGACGCCCGGGAGGACTGGGGAGGAGGTGTCTGCAGGCCAAGGAGGGAGGCTCCGAAGGAACCGATGCTGCCCGCCTGGCGCTCGGGCTCCCGGGTCGGGGCTGAGAGAACAAACTCTCGTCGGAGCTACCCAGTCTGCGGCTGTCGCGGGGCCCGGAGCGAAGGGCTACACCTGCCTTTGACGTTTCTAAGCTGCATTCCACGGCCCCGCTCCCACCGGCCCACCGGCAGAAGCAGAGGCATCCCCTGGGCAGGTCCCCCTCCCTGGGCGGCGGGCGGCGGGCGGCGGGGCCTCTGGGCCTCAGAAGTTTGTGCAAACACGCGATGAACACAACACGGAGCGGCCATGAAGCAGGAACGTGGGGGGACATTCCTGCCACAGCAAAGGCTTCTGGGACCTGAGTGGAGTTTTTAAAACTGCAAAACGCTCTTTACTAAGAAGTGCACTCCTGGGAGGTCCCGCCAGGATGGCCGAGCTGCCGGGCCTCTCGGGTGACGCCTGGGACCCCCTAATTGTGCCGTCAGATGGAACGCGGGCGCCCCTCCCGGGGCTGAGGGGCCTGGGTTCTGTGTTTTTCCTTTTCATCGTCTGATCCAGGCCGACAGCCGCTGACTCAGCCGGGAGCCCAGAGAAGCGAGGACTCAGAACCCTGCAGCTCACAGACACGGGCAGGAGGTCGGGGCGACAACCCCGGAAGGTGGGGGCGGCAGGGAGAGGGCGGGCTGGTGGGGAGCGCAGGGACGTCGCCGCGCGTCACTCTGCGTTCTTGTACTTGTTGAACAGGTTGTAGAGGACCCGCAGGGTGGACTTGAGGTCCAGGCTCACCACGTCTGCAGAGGAAGCAGGACGGAGCGTTAGGGAGACGCACCTGGGGCCTGGCTGGCGCTGGGGCCTGGGCCTGGGCCTGGCGTGGCTGCAGTGGAGCACCATCCGGGCCGCTCTGGGCAGCGCCTCCCAGACACAGGTCTCCCGCGAGCCCCCGGCCGCCACCTGTGCGATGAGCCCTGGGGTGGCCAGCATGGGTGCCCCTCCGTCCCCTTGGAACTCGCATGGGGACTAGTGTGACGACCGGCGACGTCTGTGTGGAGTGGGGTCTACAGCAGCCGAGGACATTCACTGGGGACCACACACCACGGGCTCACCGGTGCCAGGACCATGGGTGCCAGGGCCGGCCTCCTGGGGCGGGCAGGTGGCAGCTGCCGTCCCCGCTACCCCGAAGTTGGGCACGTGGTGTGGCCTGCCCAGGACACTGGGGCATGTCAGCTCCCTCTGGGGCCCAGCAAATGCAGGCGCCTGTGGTGGTGGGAAGGGCACCGGTCCTGGGACTCGGGCACCGGGTTCTGGTCCTCACATACCCTGTGACCTCAGACAGGTGCCCTGGCCCAGGGGGCGGGGGGCTGTGGTTCATGGATCACGGGATGGCTTTCCTGTCCCTGGATGGGTGTCGGGAGAGGAATGAACACATCCCGCCCAGAGCTCATGCTGGGGTGAGGATGGCGATTCTCAAAGTGGGTTCCCCGGACGCAGGGCATTGGCGTCACCTGCAAACTTGTTACAAATGGGCCTTGTCGGGCCCATCCCTCAGCCTTGGAGAAGCCCTTCTGGGATTCAGACGCCCCTTGAGTCGGAGAACCCTGGAGTGGGCCACTGGGCACAGCGGCTGGGAAGGGGCAGCGAGGGGGCCTCACCGGTCCTGGCCTCAGCCCCCTGTGGGGCGTGGACGCGCC